CCACCGCGTGCCCGTGGAGGTGGCCTACCAGCGAGGCTACTTTGACGAGGAGATGAGCCGCGTGCTGGCGGACCCGAGCGACGACACCAAGGGCTTCTTCGACCCCAACACCCACGAGAACCTCACCTACATGCAGCTGCTGCAACGGGCCACTGTGGACCCTGAAACTGGTCTCTTGTTTCTCCTAGTATCTAATTAATGTTTAACAGATTTGTTTTTGTCCCTTTCTGAATATTTCTTAGGACTTAAAGTAATTGTTTGCTTTTGCCTCTGATTGTTTCATTTTTTTTTTAACTTGACATCCTTTTCCTGGCCAGTCTTTTCTCCTATGTGTTTATGCCTTCTTTGTTTTCTAATTTTGTGTCCATTCATTTGCTTTTCGGTCTCTTTTCTGATTTATGGCATTATTTCTGACAATTTCTCATTCATTCCCTTGTGCCCCTCAGTGTTTTTTAGTTGCCTGAGTCTTTGTAATCCTCCCTTCTTTAGCTGCTTCAGGTCGAGTGGAGGTGGGGATTTTTTGGCTCTCTGTGTACACACTGAAGTACTCCTGCTGATTTGCTGTAGTCCATTTGTTAGTCCTCTACACTGCTTTCAATCAACTGGATGTTTTGSTTGATGTCATTCCCATCCTGTAACATCTCAGATAAGTGTCTGTGGTTGGTGGAGGTCCTGGTGCGTGGCCTTTCCATCTCACTGTGGTAGACCGTGGATACCAACTTACTTTGATCTCCCAGCCCAGCTTGCTGGTTCCACCAAAGTACAACTAGTGACCTGCTTGGATCTGGAGCATTCCCGGGAGTATAATTTGCAAGGGAATGTTTATGTATGGAGAAGTTTCATGTTTGTTTGTTTTTTTACTATTATTAAATAACAGAAGTTTATTTCAGCTCATATTTCTGAAGGTCAAGGTTGAGAGGCTGCATCCTTATTGCTGGTGGAGTGGTGAGATGGCATAGGACACCATACAGTGAGAGGTTGAGAGCAAGAACTCTTTTTTTCCCCCTTAATATTTTCTAGTTGTAGTTGGGCACTTTATTTTGTTTATTTATTTGTATATGGTGCTGAGGTTCGGACCCAGTTCCTCACACAGTCAAGGAAGCCCTCTACCGCTGAGCCACAACCCCAGCCTCAAGAACTCTTGTTTTCATTTCAGAATTTTGAAGGTTCATCCATAGAACTTTATGCCTGTAATATAGAGATTAAATAAGAAAATAAGCAATCTCAAATCCAGGCTAGTGTGTAGCACTGTTGCATGGTGGTCACCAGCTGCTATTGGATGGTTCTCTTGGAAACACACGCAGATCCAGTTGTTCAAAAAAGAGCCAGAACTGTGGGAGCCAGGGGTGGAGAAGGTCGACCTCAGTCTCCCCTGCACTCAGCACATGGAACAGGAGAGCCTGTGCTGCCTCTTCTCCTGCAGAGGACAGGAGCACACCGTCTGGCAGGTTTCTACGTGTGGTTTCCTTGTGCTTTTCCCATCTGGAATTTGCTCAAGTTTGATTGCATGGAATTTGTATCCTTCACCAAATTTAGAGTTTTCAGGCATTATTTCTTCAAAACCTTTCCCCTAGTCATATCTTTTCTTCTTCTAGAACTTCAAATACACAGATGTTAGTTGTCTTGATGTCTCACAACATCAGAGACAAGGTCACTGTATCTTTTTTTTCAAATTTTTTTCTGTGACATGTCTCGGGTTGGATAATTTTTCATATTCTATTTCTAGTTTGCTGAGTCTGTCCTCTGTGAATGCCATCTTCTTGTTGAGCTGAGTGGTGAACTTTCTATTTTAAGCACTATGTTTTTCACTCCAAACATTTTCATGTAGTTTCTTCATAAAATATTTCTATTTCTCTGCTGAGTCATCTGTCTTCTCACTCATTTCTAGAGTGTTTTCTTTCTCTTCTGGAGCATGGTGAGAATCTGTGCTGTGTTTTCCAATGTATGGGCCATGGTGATTCTGGTGATTGTTGATGGACTTTGCTTTAGAGACTTGCCTATCTTTTCAGACCTTGGGATGCTGAGTCCTTTGTGATTGACCATCTTGATTTGTTCTGATTCATAATCTGATGTGGGCTCTTAAAATCCTCCTAAGAACATGAGCTTTCTGTTTGGGTTGGCTCTTGTCATGGTCAGGTTCAAACTGCAAGTCTTGTCCACCTTCTGTTGTTGGTGGTCTCAGCTCAGTGCCAGTCCTGTCTTCAAAGCTTTTGCTGTGATATGTGGGGTTTGCTCAGCTTAGGAGTGAGCCCCAGGTTTGGGTGGGGTCTGTGTGCTGAGCACAGGCCCCTCTTCCAGCTGTCGGCCTTTTCCTTCCCTCACGGGCTGGCTCTCCAGTCAGAAAGCCAGGGCCTCTCCATGTTTTCATTCCCTGCTCTGGAAGGCAGTTCCAAACAACCAGGGTCCTGTTGAGGACGAGGAGGCCAGAAAAGAAGAAGGGGAAGAGGAACGGGCTCTGCAAACACATGCTGTGGCCCCCAAGGCTGTGCTGGGCTCCTGTCCACAGAGCTGGAGCTTTCAAGGCTTTTGGGTGCCCATAATGCCACCTGCACCGACACCCCAGGGTTTCATTGCTGTAACCAAAATACAGGACAAGAAAAACTTAGAGAGGAAACATTTTGGGCTCCTGGTTTCAGTGGCCTCAGTCCATGGTTGGCCAACTCTGTTGCTCTGAGCCTAGGTGAGGCAGACATCATGGCAGAAGGACATCATGGAGGACAGTTTCTCAGCTTGTGGCAGCCAGGAAACCAAGAGAGAGAGCAAATGAGGATCCGGAACCAGATACAGTCCCCAAGGGCACATCCCCCAGTGACTTCCTTCAGCCATGCCCCACCTGCCTACAGTACCATCCAATCACCCACAGAAATCATCCATCCAATGGATGAATCCACTGACGAGGTTACAGCCTCCGTTATCTAATCTTGTCCCTTCTGAATGTTCCTGCATCTAACCTATAAGTCCTGTGAGGGAAATTTTTGGATCCCAACCATAACAACCCACAACTCTAGCATGCAAAGCAAAAGAGCAAGTCTCTCAGGATGCTGGCTCTCCTTGCTCTCTGTGTGGAGACTGCCCTGCTTTGGATCAAAGCCATAGAGAGCAGATGAAGGGTCAGCCACAGGCTCGTCGAGCCGGTCATTCTTTAAGTTTTGATACTCCAGTCCAGCCGCCACTGAGGGCTTTCCAGTTCAGAGTAGCTGTCCGTATTCTTCCAGAGACTTGCTGTGCCTGTTCTGAGTTGGGGGAGGTTGATGGGCCCAGGTTCCCCAGGATGGGACTGGGAACTCACCAGCACCTGACGCCAAGCTGCGTCTTCACACAGCAGTCTGTGTGGGTCGTGAGGGTGCCCGYGGCACCCAGACTGTGACAGCAGGACGGGGAGATGTTTTTCTGACACCGGGTCACCGTGGGATGACCTGGGGTGCTGTGCTGCCATGGCCCCCTCTGCTGGCTGTGTGGACGACTTCTGAATGGCAAATGGGTGATGTTTCCTGGGCTGTCGACCAGGAGTGGGATGGTGGTCAGGTCCTTGTGTTCATCTGAAGGGGATGGAGAACACCAGACACAGGGTTGGAGAGCCGAAAGGCATAGCAGGCCAGGCAGGAAGCAGCCATACCGCAGTGAGCATGTGCGGCCAGCATGGCCGGGAAGGACACCAGGCCACACTCAGGTGCACCCTTTAGTCCCCACACTTACTGATCAAGCCAGAATGGATCTGAGACCTCTGGGCTCCCTTGACAAAATTTCCATCCTGAACTCCACATCCAAAGGAGTCCTGGGTAAAGGGGAAGGTCGAGGCCGCAGGACCACACTGCTGTATCCAGACCTGACTCCACCCCTTGAGGCCACACTCTGGTCCGTCACATGATTTGTTGATGTCTCAGTTTCCTTTTATGTCAAATGGCACAACAGGGGCACTTGTCTTGTAAGTGTTGTTAGTACAGACGAAATCATGCATGTAAAGCCCTTTGGAAGTATTCCAGAAATGTCCCTGGTACCTGGGAGCAGCAGGATGTTGTTGGTTGTTATTTTTAGCATCCACATGGCTTTTTTCTTCCTATTTGAATGCCAGACCACCCCATCCAGGCAGGCCAAGGCATCCTTCTAGCTCGAAGTGAATCATCATAGCTGTAGAAAGAACCCAAGAAAAACACACCAGTCCACTTGGAGAGGTTTAGGTCTAGAGCAGATGTCGTGGCCAGGCAGCTGACCTGGGGGGCTGTGAGAGCCCCAGGCCCCACTGCAGGCCAGTGTGGCTTCTGCTCCAGCCCTCTAAGCCTTCAGCATCTACTGCTTTTCTTCTGGGGATAGAGTCTGGGGGGTCTGGCACCTGGTTTGCCTTTTCATCCCCTGCTCCAGGGCCACAAGGGGTGGTTTCATAAGTCCCCTAGCAGGTGGGGACTCCGAGGGCAGGGCAGCACGGTGCCCACAGGATCAGAGGGAGCATGTCTTCCTGCCATGCTGAGCCCCTGGAGTTCCCCGGTCACGCAGAAGCTGGCTGAGTGAGCCTGCATCCCACACATGGGCGGCAGGCCACACCAGGGCAGAGGATCAGGTCAGCAGGAAGCTCCCCGAGCCATAGGCAGTCCACACCTGGGGCAACTTTGGCCACCATGGCCAGCGGACACAGCGCTTCACTCTGGACCATGAGGAAGCAAGGGCTTCAGGGATGTCAGGCCACCTGGGATCCCCCAAAGGCCTGAAGCACCAGAGAGTCTCCCACTTTAAAAAAGATCCCAAGGGCTTCATCCAGGGAGTAAAGCAACCCTCACCCAGACATGCACCTGCTCRGTGGTCTATGTGGCCTGAAGTCTTCACCAGGTGACACTGACAACGTCACAAGTGGACAAGATACTCTGAAAGAAGATGCCCCACGTGGCACCTACAGTTCATTCCTATGAATACTTCTCAGAGTAGAGCCAGCTGGCGCAGTGGTAGTACCTAGCTAGTGAGGAGGCTGAGATGGGAGGTGCTTGAGCCCCCAAGTTCAAAGCCAGCCTAGGGAGCACTGTGAGATCCCCCACCTCAAAACAAAATTAAGTACTACCCTGCACATAATCAGAGAAACCAGGGCACACCCGAGACAGCTCCACAGAAGAACCACCAGAACCGATTAGCAAGCTGTAAGGCAGACCCACAGCCACCCTGATCGCTGTGGCCACCAGGCCAAGTAGTTCTGAAATGTTGCCAGGGAGCTGAAACCCACACTAGGAGAGATCCTAGACCTGCAGACAGCACAGCAGGCTTAGGAACTCAGTAGGCAGGTCTGACCAGCACGTCAGAAAAGCCGCTGGGCCAGTGGGTAAACCCTGGCAGTGCAGGTGGTATCGTGGAGAGCAGGGTCCTGGGAGACAGGGCAGGAGGAAGGCCAGAGGCCAGCAATCAGCAAGACAGACTCCTTGAAGGAAGGGAGCTAGGAAGTGCACAGAGAAGTCACTGGGAAGGACGGTGGCATGGAATTTTGCCAGACCCGATCAAAGACATTAATGTCCGCGTTCGAGTCCCCAATCCCTAGCCATGTCACAGTGAAACCACAGACTCCCAGGGGCCAAGAGAAGGTGTTAAAGGCAGTCAGAAGTCAGGTTGCCTTGGAGGAGCAAGAGGTGGGCTGACAGAGAGTGGGGCTCCCCACCGCAGCTGGAAATGAGATGGAGGAGGCTCCCAGGCACCCAAGGGCCGGGCTTCCCTCCCCACACCTCCAGACCCAGATCCTGGAAAGGGAAGCTGCGAATACCGAGCACCTGAGAGGCCTGACCCCAACCTGGAGACAGCAAGCATCACCGACAGGGGCCTGAGAGGACCTGGGCCACAGCTGGCTTCTGTCCCCACTAGTCTGTAGGGAGGCCTGCGGGTAAAGCTACAGAACGCCACAGGAGTCTTTCTTTTCCTATGGGCCACGATTATCACAAGGTACAGAAAGAAGAGAGTGAAGAAGGGGGCTGGTGGAGATATGGGGCAGGGAGGCCACCTGGGCCTGCCTGCAGGGGACACAGAACAACCTCTCAGGCGCTGGCTCACAGCTGTCCTCACCCAACACCCTGGGTGCTCTCAGATCCTGTGGTCTCTTCTTCTTTATTCCACGGGTGGTCTCAGAACATGCCACATGCTCCCACGGGCCTTTCCAGAGAGTCCCACAAGGTGGCTCTATACTCTCTGGAGAAGTGGGTCGGGGGTCTGGTCCAGAGGGTAATTATGCCTTTCACAGATATTTGTTTTCTTATACTCCTCCAGAAGCATGATCTGCCCTGTGGTATAAACAGACATTGTGGGCCCTGAGAGCCCTGCCTGATAGCTAGGTGGGAGCTGAGACACAGGCAGGGCACGCTGGGCATCTGGTCCACGCCTGGCCCAGGAATTGCTGCAGCCATTGACTTAAGCATGATTTTTCCTTTTATTTCTTTAAAAGTAGCAAATACTTGAATTTTCAAGGGATAGAATTCAGCCCTTAACAGTTACTAAAAAAAAAAATATGTTCCTGATCTTTGGAATATTATTGTGAGAAATCAGTAGGTTCTATGTCCCTGTATCCAAGTCCAGTCTGCACTCCTAAGCAGGGACTGTGCCTGGGTGTGGAACCTGGAGGTCAGGCCACAGGGCAGACAGAAGGAGAGGCCTCCTGATGATCCACCGACCACTGCTTTCTTCCACTCTGGGATTCCTGGCATCTAGGAGACCTGCTCAAGCCCAGAGAGTCAGGGAACCTTGCACCTTCAGAGGGAAAGAGAGAAGCAGGAGTGCAGAGAGCAGGTCTTTTCCATGCCCTACAGGAGGGGACCGTAAGAAAACCCCAAAGGGGCCACCAGATCTGCAGGATGGAGGAAGAGGAGGAGGTAAGCAGAGAATAGAAGTGGAGGTAGGGGCAGGAGAGTGGTCCGGATCTGGAGCACTGAGGAAGGTCAGCAAGGACATACTTCACCACACCTCTATGAGCTGGTGGCACAGGACCACTGTGGGGTCACAAGGACAAATGGTTGAGAAGCATGGGTGTGGTTCATCCCTGCATACAGATTGTACTGTGTTATTGTTCTTCCCGCAGAGGGCACAATTGGAGCTTTATCATCTAGGGCTGTCATAGCAAAGCATTACAAATGGCAGCTTGAAACAATGCAGACTTCTTTTCTCCCAGCTCTGGAGGGGATACCACAACCCAGGTGGCAGCAGGGCTGGTCCCTTCTGGAGGCTCTGAGGATGGGTTGGCTCCAGACCCCCTCCAAACTTGAGGCTCTGACAATCCAGGCAATCCTTGGCCTTGGCCTGACCCAAACCCCTTTCTCTGCTCCTCCTTGCCTGGCCGTCTCCCGGTACCTCTGCCTGGGCCCACCCTTCCTTTCCCTTGTAAGGATGCCACACCCTGGAGCCAGGATCTCCCTAGGTCTAGAAGGACCTCATCTCAAGATTCTAAACTTACTATCATCCACCCAGACCCTTCTCCCGGAGGAGGACTTGTTTCCAGGTACCAGGGTTAGGACGCACATAGAGCACCTGCATCTGGTTAAGGGGCAGAGAAATGGAAGGAAATTCATTGAGATCCGGCTCACTGTTGCCCCCTAGGGAGCTCCCTTGGACCACCAACCTAACCCTGCACCCCTGCCCACCCACACGTCTAGGGGACCCACTTGCCAGAGCCCACTGTGCACTAAAGCAATATCCTTAGCACAACAGAAAGAATAGACACCCTGCCCTCCTGGAGACTGTGTCCCAGCAGGGACCCAGAGAATGAAGCAGAGGTGACAAAACACAGGCACTCCAAGCTGAGCACCATGGGAAGGGCCCAGCAAAGCAGGTACAGGGTGGGGATGTGATGCTGGGCTGGGTGATCAGCATAGGCCTGTCTGAAAGGTGGCATTTGAGTCAAGACCTGAAGAAGTGGACTTGGAGGATCTCTGGGAGGAGGATTTCAGGCAGAGGGCATAACCAGGGCAACAACCCTGGACAGACTGGCCTGTTGTGTCAATAACCTGTGTGGGGCCAGGGGGCCTGGAGTGGGCTCAGCCAGAGAGGGCAGGAGAAATGAGACCAGGGGTCAGGGTCAACTGTGGGGGCCTTCATGGTCAGGACTTGGGCCTCATAGCATGTAAGAAATGGACCACTGGGATGGCCCCAGCACCACCCTCCATGGTCCAGTAATCCACTAGAAGGACTCCCAGGAGTTTGAAAGTTTTTATAATCACAGATGCAATGTATTACAGCAAAGGCTACCTATGAAAACCACAGTGGCAAAGGACTGGTGGGACAGAGCTCAGGGGGGGCCAGGTGTGTGTCCAGTTGTCCTTTTCTAGTGGTCACTGGACAACAGGCACCTCCTCCAGTGGAGGTGTGTGATGGCACATATGAGTGCCACCAGCCTCCTCTAGGATCTCGCTGGGTTCCATCACTTAGGCACAGCTGACTACTTCAGAACTTGCACTTCTGAGCGGCTGGCTTCAGTCTAACACTGCCAGGCTAACACCGTGGCTCCAGGACCTGCCATCAATCACATTGTGCAGGACACTCCCAGAGCCTGGAGGCCATGGGAGGCGCAGGGTTTGACTCTGCAGCCTGCTGACAGTTAGGGTCAGGGTGGACGCTCAGGGCAGGCCACAGGGTTCTCATCGGAACTCCAGAGCTGGTGGGAGGGCGCAGAGGGAGCGGTGCTGGTCAGCAGAGTTTGCTGGGGGTTAAATATAAAAGTGGGCCAGCACTGTTTCCAGAAAGAGAAGGAGAAGAAGAACTAGGACCCTGCAGGTGTGAGAGGGAGGATCTGTGGGGAGGCAGCGGACAGGGTGTGGTGAGGGTCTCCTCCTGGAGAGGGGATACACTTACGGGGGTGTTCTCCTCCTGGCTCCACTGTTGCAGACGAGCTTACAGTGGAAAGAGGAGGGGCATGTTTGGAGAAAAGAGAAAATTGGCACCTTGGAAGGTAGGCTTGTGCACTGAAAGGGAAGCAGGAAATTGGGGGCCGGTGAGAGATTTGTAGTCATGAATTAAATTCCAAACTGTTGGTGTGCTGCTGTATTATCAGCCACCTTCAGTGGCCTTCCTCCGGGTTCCCTTTAGTACCGGCGGGGTGAGCCGACCTCACTTCTGAGTCTGTGGGGCTTCCCCGCAGACCCTGGGGGCAACCGGGAGCAAAGCTGACAACGTTCGGCCCCTCACAGGCGTCGTTGGGGGATGTGCGTGGCCGCAGCCGGGTGCGGATGCTGTGCCGGAGGAAGAGCTGAGGCATAATGCGTGCAGTGGCGGATCTCGGAGCGCCTGGTCTGGACCACAGGGGTCTCCATGCGCGCAGGGATGCCCAACCGTGTGGGACTCGCTGGCAGCGGCCTGCGGGTGCGCGGCACGGCGCCGCTCTGCGGGGCGGGGCCTCTGCCGGCGTGGGCGGAGCCTCCGGAGGGCGGGGTCTGCGCGTGAGACCTGGGACCCGGCAGGGCGGGGCCTGGCGAGGCCGCGGAGGGCGGGTGGGGCTCGGCCGCTCGCCTGGGAGCTCCACTCGGGCTCCGGCCCGCAGAGGCGGCTCCGGAGGGGCGGGCCGGCTCCACCCCCGGGCCCGCCGCCCGTCCGTCGCGCGCCCGCGCCTCCCAATTCCCGGAGCCGGGTCGGGGCTCGAGGCGGCGGCGGCGGCGGCTCCGCTGGGCTCCGGGTTGGCCGGCCAGGCGCGGGGCCAGGGCGGGCGGCGGCAGGGCGGTGGATCGCGCGGAGGGCGGTGGCCTGGCCCGCTGAGCCATGGCGGCCCCGGAGCCGGCGCCGAGGCGGAGCCGGGAGCGGGAGCGGGAGGACGAGAGTGAGGACGAGAGCGACATCCTGGAGGAGAGCCCGTGCGGACGCTGGCAGAAGCGGCGCGAGCAGGTGGGCACCGGCGGGGTGACGCCGCCCTCCCGGAGCCCCGGGGACGCGAGGCCACGCGGGGCCGTGGGGGCTCCGTGGCCTCGCGGCGGCCTGTCCACAACCCACGTCCTGGGTGGCCCTTGGCCCTCTTGCCTGGGACCCACGCCCTGGTGAGGAACCTCCATTCCCTGAGGACCGTCTCCTTCGGGAGACTTCCTGGTCCCTCCCCACGACTCTGGGATCCACCGCTAGACCCTAGGGGATCACGCTCCAGAACCTGAAGCCGCTTCTCTCCACCTCTGCCCAGCCCCCGGATATCACCCCTGGACCGCTGCGGGCCAACCCGGGTCCTGGCCCCCAGCTTTCCCATAGAGCGGATCCAGCCCGAAGCGCACTCTGGCCAAGAGAAGGGAGTGAGAGGGACCAAGTCCCCAACCTCGCCCTAACACAAACGGGAGCATTTGTACCCCGTCCCCAGGTGAACCAGGGGAATATGCCCGGGATCCAGAGCACATTCCTGGCCATGGACACGGAGGAGGGGGTAGAAGTGGTGTGGAACGAGCTCCACTTTGGCGACAGGAAGGCTTTCGCAGCCCATGAGGTGAATCCCATCGCCCTCGTCCCCAGTCCTGTCCCGTGATGGCCCATGACTGCCCCCCTCCTCCCAGGAGAAGATCCAGGCCATGTTTGAGCAGCTGGCGCTGGTGGACCACCCCAACATCGTCAAGCTGCACAAGTACTGGCTGGATGCCTCTGAGGCCCGTGCCAGGGTGAGCTACTGGGCGGAGTGGGGGCGGGGCGTGGCCTGGGTCTGGGTGGAGCAGCTGCGGGGACCCACCCGCAGTGGCGGAGCCGTGAGCCCGCCCGCCCCACAGGTCATTTTCATCACGGAGTACGTGTCATCGGGCAGCCTCAAGCAGTTCCTCAAAAAGACCAAGAAAAACCACAAGGCCATGAATGCCCGGGTATGGGGAGTAGGCTGGGGACAGGGAAGGGAGGGTGGCCTCTGGGAAAGGGATGGGACTGGAACACAGGTCAGCCCCAGAAAGGGGCGGGGCGGCGGGTGGGCTTCGCAGGCCCTGCCACTTCTCCTGCGCCCACCCGACGGGAGTCCTGCGTCCGCTGCCAGGCCTGGAAGAGATGGTGCACGCAGATCCTGTCCGCGCTCAGGTGAGGACCTAAGCTTGTCCGCCTGCTTGCCCTGCTGCGCTGACCTCTCTGGCGCCCCGTGACCCGGCTCTGCCTGCTCTCCCCCAACGCCTGCAGTTTTCTGCACGCCTGCAGCCCCCCCATCATCCACGGGAACCTGACCAGCGACACCATCTTCATTCAGCATAACGGCCTCATCAAGATCGGCTCTGGTGCTGGCGGGGAGGGGCTGGGCAGGGGGGCAGGGCTGGGGGAACCTGTCACAAGTCGAGGTCAGAGGACACCCCACACCCCAGGCCGCTGACACCCGCTCTTTCTCCCCGTGGTCTTCTTCACAGTGTGGTACCGCATCTTCTCCAATGGTTCGTGCCGGATAGGGGTGGGGATGGGAGCCCTGGCCAGGCCGGTCTGCTCAGCGCCTCTGCCCCTTCTTTAGCGCTCCCGGATGATCTAAGGAGCCCCATCCTTGCTGAGCGAGAGGAACTTCGGAACTTGCACTTCTTCCCACCAGAATATGGCGGTAAGTCTTGGAGGGACCTGTGGCACCTACCCAGCCTGCACATCAGTCCTACCCACCTGCCTCACTCTTCCCTTTCAGAAGTTGCAGATGGGACCGCTGTGGACATCTTCTCTTTTGGGATGTGTGCACTGGAGGTACTGGCACCTTTCCTCCTAACCCATTCCCAGCTGGCCTCCACCCCATCTCATGGGTGCTGTCCCTTCCCCATGTTGGCCCTGCAACCTCAGATGGCTGTGCTGGAGATCCAGGCTAATGGGGATACCAGAGTCACAGAGGAGGCCATTGTTCGAGCCAGGCACTCACTGAATGACCCCAACATGCGAGTAAGCAGCTTGCCACTACCTCTACCCCCAGCCTGAATCGATGTGCCCAGTGTAGGGCCATTGAGGTACTTAGGCAGGCCAGAGGTATGGCCAGGTTAATGCAGGGGAAGGGTGTGCCAACCTCTGGCCCACTGTCAAGAAAGACTCCACTAAGAGCTCATGCAGGGTTGCAGGCCTGAAGGGGGTCAGAGCATTAAAAGAACAAGGAAACCAGAGAGACATTCCCTATGTAGGTACTAACTATTTTATAACAGTAATAAGGCTGAAGGCTGCCCAAGGCAGTGGAGTGAGCATTTGCACCCAGATCTGCCTGGCTCCAGGTCCCTGCCTTTAAGATCCAGGTCCAGCTTGTGTGGAGGGCTGTGGTGGGCACAGGGCAGGCAAGGGAGATAGAGAGATAGAGGTCCAGTGGCTTTGGACCAGAAATGCTGTGTGGCTTGCATGCTTCTGTGGACGGGAGATGGGAGAACGGGACCTGACTGGGCATGAGAGGCCAAGGAGGGCACCAATGTCTGCAGGGTAGGGACGAACCAAAGGTCATCTCCAGAGCTGGGTCTAAGTTGGGGTGATCAAAAGGGTTTAGACTGTGGGTAGGAGAACCTGCATCTGTGAATTGGGGGTCATAGCACTCGTTCCCCACAATTCCTATGAAAGTCAAGGAAAGTAGAGCTGATGTTCTCATGAGATGCTGTCTCCTGTGCATGTTCCTGCAGCATCCCTGAGTGGGGAGGACATGGGGATTGGGCCCCTGGGTCCTGGGGGGCTCCAGGGTACCTGCTGTCTTCACACTGTGGGGTTAGAGCAGAGAGCCTGCCCCACCCACCTCTCCTCCCCACCCCAGGAGTTCATCCTCTCCTGCCTGGCCCGGGACCCTGCCCGACGGCCTTCTGCTCACAACCTCCTCTTCCACCGAGTGCTCTTCGAGGTACACTCGCTGAAGCTGCTGGCAGCTCACTGCTTTATCCAGCACCAGTGTAAGAACCAGGCAGCGGGCTGGGCCAGGGACCTAGGGTTGGAACAGAGAAGAGGCCTTGCAGGGCCTGTTACTCAGGCCCACCACCCTGAGTACTGCTGTGGCCCACAGACCTCATGCCTGAGAATGTGGTGGAAGAGAAGACCAAGGCCATGGACCTGCATGCTGTCTTGGCAGAGGTCCCCAGGCCCCAGCAGCCCCCAATGCAATGGCGGTGAGCACCGGTTGCCCAACAGCCTCCCCTCTCCCTCCCTGCCTGCCCCTGGCCAGCTACCACTCATGTACCTCCTGCCCTGTGCCAGGTACTCAGAGGTCTCCTTCTTGGAGCTGGACAAATTCCTGGAGGATGTCAGGTGAGAGCTGGTGTGAGACTGGGAACAGGCTCTTCCGGGCCTGAACCCCCAGCCATATCCTGGTGTGTCCCCAGGAATGGGATCTACCCACTGATGAATTTTGCTGCTGCTCGGCCCCTGGGGCTGCCCCGTGTATTGGCTCCACCCCCGGAGGAGGCCCAGAAGGTCAAGACCCCGACTCCAGAGCCCTTTGACTCTGAGACCAGGAAGGCAAGTTTCTACTCCTGCTGTGTGAGCTGCATCTGACAATGGGCACCCTTCTCTTGGGGTCTGCTTGAACTACAACCCAGCTGTCCTCCAGGCTGGGAGGCCAGATCTAGGCTGGCCCCTTTGGGGGCTAGGAGTCTGTAGGACAAGCTGGGATACCTGTCTTTCCCAGTGGTTCTTCATTCCTGTAGACTCTCTCCTACCCTGCTGCCTGCCTCCATCCCTCAGTGCACTGAACAGCTTTCCTCTAGAAGTCTCACTCACCACCCCCAGCCCTGACCACAACCCCTGGATTGCTTACTCCCAGACATTTACATCCTGGGACTTGCCCCTCAGGCCCCCAGGCACCAGGTTTCCCCAAACCTCCCTTCCTGCAGGGCTGCCTCCTGGCCAGGGTCCTCTCCTGGTCAACCTCAGCCCCTCCCTCTCTTGTTTATGCCTGTACCCAGGTCCTCAGGGCACTGGAGTCAGGCAGACCTGGATGCAAATGCTCACTCACTGCCTTGGGCAGCCTTCAGCCTCTCTAGGCCTTATTACTGTTATAAAACAGTTAGTACCTACATAGGGAATGTCTCTCTGGTTTCCTTGTTCTTTTAATGCTCTGACCCTTTCAGGCCTGCAACCCTGCATGAGCTCCTAACGGAGCTGACTCTGGCCTTAGATGTGTCCTATGGCCACTTCCCTGATCCTGGCTACCACCATTCCTCAACTGATAATCAACCAATCCCTGCCTGGCCTCCTTCCCCCTGGCTTCCTTCCTTCTAGTGCAGCCTGAGTTCAAGTCCTAACAGTCAAAGCTGCCTGGCTCCTGGCTGCCCAGAGAGTTCAAGTCGCAGTCCAAGCCCCAGGCTCTTCAAGCCTATTCTTGCTGGTTCCCTGCACTTGGGTGCTGTCACATCCAGACTGACCACCCTCTCCCCTGCTTCCAGAGTTCCCTCCTTTTCAAAGCAGTTTCTCTACTCTGAAAACTCATATTCACCCTTCAGTACCCAGCCCCAGTGCCTACTGGAAGTTTGCCTTAACAGCCAAGTAGCCAGCACTGAAATTGCTTTCTAGGTTCCCCTTGGAGATTTTTACCATTTTAATCCCAGTTGTGCTTTCTGGGTCTCTTGGCTGAGTTCCAGCCCTTGTGACCCTGGCCTCCTGGTCCCCAGGTGATCCATATGCAGTGCAACCTGGAAAGGAGTGAGGACAAGGCACGCTGGCATGTGAGCAGGGCCCTGGGCTGGGCTGGGAAAGGAAGGGCCTGCCAACTTTGACTTGGCACCGACCACACCCTCCTGCCCCAGCTCACGTTGCTTCTGGTGCTGGAGGACAGACTGCACAGGCAGCTGACCTACGACTTGCTTCCAAGTAGGCGACTGGGAACGCCCGGCTGCAGGCCTGAAGGTGGGCGGTGGGCAGTGGTTGGTGCCGCAGCCTTATGAGTTCCCATGTGCCCTTGTTGCAGCGGACAGCGCCCAGGACCTCGCGGCTGAGCTGGTGCACTACGGCTTCCTGCGCGAGGTTGGCAGGGTCGGGCGTGGTGTGGCTTGCTGGGAGGGTGCAGGACTGCTCTGCCGCAGGTCCCCCATGCCTCCCTCCCCTCTTTAGGATGACCGGTTGAAGCTGGCCGTCTTCCTGGAGACCACCTTCCTCAAGTACCGTGGGGCGCAGGCCTGATCCTTCCAGCCCTGGAAGCCCTGCCCTGGCTCTGCTGGCTCAGGGCTGTCCCTGTGGGGAAGAGTCCAGCACTTCTTGGAGTTGCCTTCTGCCTGCTAGCCTGGGAGCTGATGAGCACCTACCCTGTTAGTGAGGATCCCTGGCCTCCTTCAGCAGCATGGGACCCTGAGGTGGTGGTTCAGTGGCTGAGGCAGCCAGCGTGGGGGTACAGGGTGGGATCTTCCATGGACAGACCTCCACCAGGGGAATCACTCCATCACTCTGGGTTGAGCCATCCTAAGTTGGCACCACAGACCCAGGCAGGGTGCCTGGACCTCATAATGTGATGGGGCCCCTGCAGCTGTCATAACCAGTGCTGGGCATCAAACAGGGCCAGACCTGGCTGGAAAGAGGGTAAAGAGCCTGGAATTGAGACCGTGGTCAGCAAAGCCCCTGGTCCCATGCAGAACAGCCCTGCAGTCCCCCTCTCTGACCTTGCTCTGAGACCAGGATCTGGGGCTCTGGCACCATCACCAATACCCCAGCCCCTCTAATGGGCTATTTCTCTCCTGTATTACCTGGCATGGAGAGGTCAGAGGTCAGGTGTCCTCCCAGACCTCCTCCCTGGAGCAGCTGTATTCTGGGCCTGGAGATGTGGGCTTCTSTTTCTCTGTCTCTCTCTCTCCCACCCAACTCCTGTCTGGATTTCAGAGGTTTCATTACTTCCATGAATTCTGCCTCCACCTCCAGTGCCCTTTCTTGAACTGCCTCTCCTCCAATTTCAAATTCAGCTAAATGATCTCAAACATTTTAAATTTTATGTATAAATTTAATGTATTCAGGTTTCTGTTTAAGCATTTCAAATGTCAAACCAGGAAGGCTCACTAACTGTATTAGTTCTATATTGCTGCTGTAACATTTATCACAACCTTAGTGGCTCAAAACAACACAAGTTTATTATAATTCTGTAGGTCAGAGTCTGATACAAGTCTCACTAGACTAAAATCAAGGTGTTGGCAGGTGGTGTTTTCCTAGGTTGGCAGGTGGTGAAGATCCTAGGGGAGAACCTGCTTCCTGCTCATTCAGGTGTTGGCAGAATTCACTTCTACACAGTGGTGGGTCCTGTTTTCCTGCTGGCAGTCAACTGGGGACCACTCTTCATTACCAGAAGCGGCCTGCATTCCTTGGCTCTCCTTCCTCCACTCAAAGGCAGCAGCAGTAGGTTGAATTTTAGCGTGAGCCAGATATCTGGTTGTCTGAAGCCAGGAAGGTTCTCCATAAGGACTCCTGCCTGCAATTGGGTGGACTCCCCCCAGATAATCCAGGAAAATTGCCCCTCTCAAGGTCTCTAAGATTAATCACATCTGCAGGCATATATTTTGCCATATTAAGTGGCATTCACAGCTCCACTGATTTGGGAATGGATATCTTCGGCAGGGGGCATTCTCCCTACCATACCCCCTTAACCAAAAGCCCAAAACCAAACCAGATTTGCCAAGTCATATAAAATAAATTAAATGAACAACTATAATGAATCTCAAGTTATTTTAAACATTCTAGTACTCTTTACAAATATTTTCAGATTCTCATACCTTTCATCTTAAAATTGCAGATTTCAAATAACCTGCAGATTCTAGGAGAGAATCCTGTTGCTAAAATGATTGTGCATAGTCTTCAACAGTTTGAGTGGCAATCACACAACTGATCTGAACTTAAAAACACCGATACTAACATTGCTGCATTTAGTCATGCCTACCTGAGTTTTTAATGTTAAGTTCTATCTTTTCAGAATTATATGCATATTATTTTTAAAATGAAATGGTATGTGTGAGGCCAATAATAAATGCAGTCTCCTACCCTGACTTTCCCCCCGTTCACCACTCTTAGCTGTTTCTGCAGACATTCAGAACCCACATTTTTCCACCCTCAAGCACACTTTAGTCCTGTGTATTGGTTGTTCTACATGAGGTGTCTCCAGGTGGCATCCTCTGGAGGGAGGAGTCCTCTGCCTCCTCTGATACATCACCCCAGTGTGATGGGTATTATAGTTCTCTGGGTGTGAGTAAGCTTCATTACCAAAAGTCTCCACAAAGAACAAGGTATCCTAGTCTAGGTTATATTTTCTTTCTTGTACAACCTTTTCTGTTTTCCCTGGAGTTAATAATTGTCTTTTTTTTTTTTTTTTTGCTTAGTTTTCTGATATGGATGCCATTAATTCATTTTTAGATTTCCCCGTGTAAGTGTGACTCTCCTCTCAATACTCCACAATCAAGGCATAACTGACTAGTTTCTTCTTCCTGGAGTCCCCAACTTGTTCTTGTATTCTGGCCCCACTCTTAGCCTGGGTCACCCTTCACCAGGGTCCTGGAGCCCTTACTCTGTGACTGCATCCCATGCTTTCCTCTTCCTTTGCTGCCCTGAGAAGCAACATCTTTCAAGTTGCCTGGGAGAGGATGCATGGAAGATTATGGGTTCTTTCCCTGTTTGTCCTTATTCAGACCTCACACGTTTTTAAGTGTATCTGGATACAGAAGTTTGATTTGGTTGAAAGTCACCTGTCCTAAGATTTTGAAGGTGTCATGTCATTTTCTTCTAGTTCCAAGAACTCTCCATGCCTCTGTGAATGCTGGCCCTTTGCCTACAAGCTCTTCTCTCTCATTTTCTCTCAATCTTTTCTTTGCCCCAGTAACTGTTTCATCCATTGTCCAGAGATGAAAATTTTCTTGAATTACTTCTTTCTTTATTTTCCCCTTTCCTTATATTCTGGACAATTTATTGAGATGTCGGACGCATCTTTTGAGAGATGCAATCATGTGTCTAGGTGCCCAGGCTCTGAGAAGATCTGTTGCTCCTTGCAGCATGAGCTCAGTTGTGCCTGTACTTCCTCATCTGGAGCAGTGGAGGGAGACCCTCTGCAAAGGGTCACTATAAGGTTGGCATGAGCTCCTGTATGAGAAGCCAGAACAGTGTCTGGAACCAAGCATCTGTCCCTGAAAGCTGCCCCCAGACAGTAGTGCTTGGGGCTCCCCCTGGTAGTAGTGGTGAGATCCAGCCCCAGGTTTCTGTGCCTGGAGAGTACTGACTGATCTGATTATGATAGTTGACATTTTCTAGCTATCTGGCTTTGTTGTTATGCATTCTGGAAGATTTCAACTTTATCTTTCAATCCTATAGAACTGCTCATGTCCCTTTCACATTTCTCTTTTTTGGGGAGGGCATGTACCAAGGATTGAACTCATGGGCACTCAACTATTAAGCCAAATCCTTAGCACCCCCCTTTTTAAATTTTATTTAGAGACAAGGTCTAAGCACCTCGTTGTTGCTGAGGCTGTCTTTGAACTCGCAATCCTCTTGTCTCAGTCTCCCAAGCTGCTGGGATTATAGGCGTGTGCCACCAGGCCCCTCTCACATTTTTTCATTTGGAAGATATCTATCTCTCTCTCTCTCTCTCTCTCCTTTGATTAATCTTTCTCCACAGAAAACCTGGAAGAGGATGCATGGAAGATTATGGGTTCTTGGTTTTTGGATGTGACATCTCTGAGGATGTCTTAGCTTTGCATTCTTCCTCTGCTCCTCTCCTCATCCTCAAATACTGTGATCTTGGACTGGCCAGTTGCATTTAATGGTAAGATATCCTTCTTGCCTGGGGCTTGTTATCTGGTGAACTTGGAGGCCAGGCATCTGGCTGGTATTCTACTAGACACCCCGGCTGCTAATCTTTTCTTTTGACTTGCTGCAGAAAGAAGAGTTTGTGGAGGCTGGTGCCACATGTGGGGAGGCCAAACTTTGAAAAGGAGGGTAGAGGAGGTAGGGGAAAGGGCAGGAGTCTCACTGCCCCACTTTCAGAACAGGGCCAGGCCTCAGTGCTCCTCTCCTGGAGCCCCAAAGTACCTGTAAGCCCTGGAGGTAGGGACAGAGGCCTGGATTCTTCTCAGATACTGACATCCACAATCCAGTCTGCTAAAGTAGCTCTGCTTCCACCCTTCCCCAGCTCGGCGTCCCACACCCTTACCCTCGTGTTATTTGCCTTTTTAACGCTACTTTTCTGTCATTTTAGAGGGGTTTCAGGAGGGAGGGGAGGAAATTATTCTGCCATATTTTACTATAGGTGTCTATATTCAATTCTAAAATTTTCCAAGGTTGGTAAGAGACCTTAGCCAGGGAAGACACTTTTGTTGCCTTAGATAGCTGAAGATGCCTGAATTTACAGAAGTGGTTTCTTCCAGGTATATAACTGAGTTGAGGTTTTGGGACTGAGTACAGCCTATGGCAAATGTCAGGGGAGCTCTTCCCACAGCACAGATGGACACGTGGGCACCTTTAAACGTAGCTCAGGGCTGACTGGAACCTCCTTGCATACTGTTCCTACAGGATAGGCTCCTGAGCCATCTTCTGGAATGCAGGGCCACCGACTGCATGTCATTCCATCTAGGAAGCAAAGCACCCATTCAAATCACTAGTAAGGAAAACAGGCTGACAATTAAACGGASTCTCCTGACTTCGGAGATGTTACAATGTAAAACGATGCTTCTCAAAATCAGTGCGGTCTCAGCTGTCCACGCAGACTCCCTCGGCCCGGGGGTGGACGGACCGCTCTTTTCCCCCGCCACCTCACGGAGAGTAAGCGGACGTCTGGTGCAGTTTGCAGCAGGCAGAGGGTGAGTGGCCGAGCTGGGCGTGACGCAAGCCTGCGCGCAGCGGACCGCCTCTCCCCGCCCGCTCCTCCAGCGAGCCCCGCCCGTCTCGAGGCGTCCACTGTTTCTCGCCTCCCGGAAGCGCGTTCCTCCCTCCACGTCGCAGGCACAAGGTCGTTATCGCGAGAGTTTCTAAGCCGGCGCCCAGATCGCGCGAGACTGCGGAAGCAGGGGGAGCGTGTGGCGCGCGCGGCGGCCGCGACGGACGCAAGATGGCGACGGCGACCATAGCTCTCGTAAGTGAGCCCCCCACGGCCGCGGGCGAACCTCGACTGTTGGGAGCGGGTCTTCGGCCTGGCCAGTGCGCGGAGGGCCCCCGGRGACGCGGCGGTCTCCCCGGGCCCGGCGCGGAGCCCCTGCGGCCGTGGGGCGCGCGGGGCGGGGGCGGGGCGGGCGCGCGCCGGCGGCGGGCCCGCGGCTGCAGCTTCCGGCCCGTGGACTCCAGCTTCCGGCGGCGCGGCTGGTGGGCCGGCCCGGCACCGGTCTTGGGTCCCTGGCGCGCAGTGCGCCCGCGGTCCCGGCGTCCGCTCCCCGCCTGCGCGAGTGCGCCCCGGCGCGGTGGAGCGGGAGGGCGGGCCTCGGCTTCCGCCGCTGCTCTGCAGGGAAGCGAGGCCGAGGAGGACGTCCTCCCTCGTCGCACGTCGCCGGGCAGTCGCTCTGTCCCACGCTGTGTGGGAGTCTTTGGAGCACTGTGAGGAACCAGGCAGAGGCAGTGACCGCCTACCCCCCGGTGCCTGGTGCTGGGCGGCCGAGGGAGTGTGCTCAGGTTGCGTGGGCGCTCAGAAGAGTCCCTCCCTGCTCGGCTCTGCCCGCCTCCGCCGGCGCAGAGGGTGCAGGAAGCGTTAGTGTAGAGGGAGAGCCCTGTGCACAACACCACGACACCGCAGCCCGTCCTTCTTCCCACTTGGCTTAAGCTGCACTCCGCTCCTTGGACCCTTTCCCTCTGCACTTCACCCCTTTGTTACCTGCTATTCTCCCCCAGCCTACACCCGGAGGGATGGGCTAAGGTCTGTTTGAGGAGGCACCTTGGTCGGATCCATAAGATCAGGGAGTGCAGGGGGGCTGCCATTGACGGGCTCTGAGCTGAAAGTTGGGGCAGAAATTGTAGGATGCCTCAGCGTGTGAGGTACAACCCAGTGTGTGAACCTTACATCATGGATAACTTTCTACCCTGCCTTGCTTTTCTTGAAGCCATATGAACAAATGAAGCCAGAGGGTTGAGGACTTGATGCTTGTCCTTGGGCAGCAGTGCAAGTTGATGGCAAAGGAGAGGGAGGCGCTGAGACAAGGATTAGATACCTGGGAAGCTGTAAGAGAGTGAATGGCTCAGCTCAGGGGGACTTCGGGGTGAGCTGGGGTTCAGCTCTATTATGGTGCAATGAGAAACAGGTAGTGTCATTGTTGAGATGGACATGGGCAGCAAACTGGGGTTTTCAGTGGGGTGTTTGTTGCCCTTGAAATCTCCCAGGCTTGCGACAGCAAGCTCTGGAGGTCTGACACGTTTCTCTTTTAATCTTGTTTTTTTTTTTTTTTTTTTGTGTGTGTGTGTGTGTGTGTGTGTTTGGTGTAGATGATTGAACTCAGGGCCTTTAAGCCCACTCTTCCACTGAGCTGCACCCCCATTCCCCGCTGTGCAGGCTAGGCACAGTGAGAGCCTGTTCTCACTGTCATGGTGCTTCAGCTTTTGTGGGAGGGCGAATGGAGCTGCTGAAATGGGCTGATACAGATGGGGTAGGGAAGGACACAGAAGAGTCTCATCTCTTTGGACTTTCTGCTGCCTTGTGTTGCAGAAACAGGTCAGCAGCCCCTTTCCAACAAGGCTCATTTTTATTGCATTGTCTGACTTATTGTTTCAATCTTCCCTTCTCTGCTGCCAGGCCTGCTTCAACTTAGGGTTCATCACCTTGGGTTTTTTCTCGATTCCCCGTGAACAGTCATCTTCTCACAAAGGCCCTCCTTGGTTGCTATAGCTTAATATGCCTCATACTTTTCATCTTGTGTTTTTATTTTTTTCTTAGTGTTCCTTACTACAGAAATCATCTTAGATGTCAACTGCATGTTGTTTGTAAGCACCTGACCACAAGACTCCAGAGGAGTTGTTTTTCTCTCCCCTGTTGTGGTGCTCAGCACTGAGTCTCGTCACATAGTGAGCAGCATGGTTCCATATGAAGGGACCTGAATAGATGGCAGATAGCCTTCTCTAGCCAGCCCCACTCTAGGGGTCTGACCCTGATACTGTTAACAATGCTAATTGCTGCAACCTGTGGCTTTCTTTCCATGTGCAGGTACTGGCTACCTAAAATACTTCATTTCAGAGAGACTCAGTAAATCTTCATGGCAACCCTAGAAGAGAACATTCCCTTTTACAACTAGGACCTAAGGCCTAGATACGTTATGTTATTTGTCCTAAGTCACTTAAATTTTTTGTCCTATAATGGAAATAGTTTGTTCTGGGCAGAACTGGTGTTTGCACCCCAAAGAGGGGACTTCCTGTCCCTCAAGGTACTGTTGCCTGATGCTGGGGAACATTATGTCTTCAAAGCATGCCATTTTCTTTGCCAGAGGGTGACAGCATATGACTAGATACGATGATAAGTGACGGTTTTCTTCACACTTTTTTTAGAAATTGGTTAGAATAGAACTCTAGACTCAATATGATTGATTAAAAGCTTCATTCTTCCATGAATGGGATGAATAGGGTGGGATGTCCTGTGGAATATCTTCCACTGGAAGTCTCATGTGAGCTGTGTCCTGCTCTCCGCAGTGTCCTGGTCCACACGTTGGTTGGTGTAATTTGGGGGAGCAGGAAGTTTTACGGTGCCGAGGTTTACCTGTTTACAGATGTCTCGGGCTGCACCTGCAGAAACAGCCTCTGCTCTGTGGGAGGGAATGTCAGAGGGCCCTCTTGGTTCTCTGGGGTGCTGTTTCTGAGCAGCAGTGGCACTGAGCTGGTCAGTGGAGCATTGGAAGCAGCTCCAGGCAAGGTGGGGTGTGGGGCTAGGTTGGCCAAAGTGTTGGGGCCCCTTGGCCAGGTCTCCCCAGTGGGCCAGCTGTGTTCTTCCCACACCTTTAGAAGCCTGAGGATCTGAGTAGTGTGCCTTGGATGAGTCAACTGGCCTCTGGTTCTGTCTATGCATGGCTCCAGGGTGGGCATAGCCATCCCTTCTTATTCTTGATCCGGGATCAGGGAGGGGTGCATTCTACCTTGTTCCTGCTGCACAGCCTCTAGGAACATGTGAAGGCTCTTTACCAAGTTCTTCCATCCCCACAATACTGCCTACCTCCTGTCTGCCCTTGCCATTCATAGGACATGGCAGTTGCTGTTCTCTCTGGGTGTGGGTCCAAGCTCCCAGTTGCCCTTGGACAGTGTGCTGTTGGGGAGGGGGGCTTGGGCTTGACCAGAGCCTGTGAAAGGACCAGGACTGATGCTAAGCTGAGGGCTGTCCACATGTGTACAGGCTGCTGCCTCAGGAGGAAGGTGGTCACCTTGTCTTCCAGCCTGGCCCAGTCTGTCAGCAGGAGAGGGTAGCTTTCTTTGGCATGGGACAGGAGCACCACTTGCTCTCTACCTTTTCCTCCCTGTCCGTTCRTGGGGACTTGCCGCCATTCAGGTCTGCCCCAGGATGCTCTGC